GTTGCTGCCAAAACTTTCTTCCATTTCTCACATCTGAGATAAATTTGGCTGACTTTCATTTTATTTAAATTAAAACAGCACAGAAAGTGTGCACATATTTATATTATCAGTAATAAGAAGATAATAAATAACAGAGCAAGTGCTGCTTTTTTTTATACCTATCCAACCATGGCAAAGTAGTCATTATTATATGTGTATAAATTAGGTCAGGACTTTAAGAACTCTTGAGGTTATGGTGTTCTGCAGGTCAGATCATTTGCAATCTCACTGATGCCCTAGGGACTGAACAAGGGATATACAACTCACTCTGCAAGTAAATTTTTTGTGTTGTTACTTTTAAAAGGTGTTTTCTAAGAAAACTTTTCACTTATCCTGTTATGTGATACTTTTTCTTGCAACATGCAATTGATTTTGCTGCTGATAGTTAATAAAGCTCAGCACAAGACAAATAAAAATTTGTTATGACTTGGTCAAACTCAAGAAGAGAGAGTATAGCTGATAACAGTGTAAATGCCATTTTGCTCCAGAATGCTAATTTACTAAATGGAGTTAGTATAAAATGTGAAAACATTGGAATAGAACAAAACTAAAACATGAACAATTTAACAAAGGACAATTTTAACTACAAAAATGCCTTAAAATTGCCGTGTGAATTCTCCTAGTAGTGGCCATTCTTAAAATTGTTTTCCCAGATCATGTTCACCTACAATAACATAATCTCTGTTTAATAAAAAAAGAGCAAAACCGAGAGCAAACATCATTCAAATACAAGGACGGTCCATGCTGAAACACACAGTGGGAAGCAGCCGGGTCAGACAGGGAGCTCATGGCTGAGTTCCCGAGCAAAACAATGGTATAAAACAGGTGGAAGCAGGAAAAAGCTATGGAGGGGTCATTTAGAAAAATTGCCTGGGCATCTAGAGGGGATGTTAGGAAAGCCAAAGTACAGTTGGAGTTAAGACCTGTAAGGAACATTAAAGACATCAAGAAGAGCTTCTACTGCTGCACTATTAGTAAAAGACCAAACAAAGAAAATGCGTGACTGTTGCTGAAAGAGGTGGGTAATTTAGTCACAGTGTACGCTGGTAAGGCGGAGGTACTCAATGCCTCCTTTGCCTGAGTTTTCATTGACAGGGTTGCTTAGGCCTCTGTGCCTGTGGAGGGTTCAAGGAGAAGAGGAAGTACCAGCAGCGGATGAGGATCAAGACAAAGTTTACTGGGAGAACTTGACTCATGCACATCTGTTGGACTAGATGGGCTGGACACAATGCTGCTGATGGCATTGCAAGGCTGGCAATGTATCCCCTGTGAAAGTCTCTGGAGATCAGGGGAGGTGCCCAACATCTGGAGAAAGGCATATGTATGCATCTTTAAAAAAAGCTAAAGCGACGAGCAAGGGAGCTAAAGGCCAGCTAGCCATACTTGTTGTGAAAATCATGGAATGAGTCTGAGATCATATTTCTGGGCCCATAAAGGAGAAAAAAAGTGACTGGGAACAGTCAGCATAGATTGGCCAAGTATAAATCATGCCTGACCAAAACTGATTGCCTTCTATGATAAAATGACTGAATCTGTTGACAAGGGGAGAACAGTTGATGTCACTTGCCTGGATTTTAGACGCTGCAAGACTTTAGACACTGTCTCAAAATCTTCATGTGTTCAGCTGAAGATGTTATGTTCCATGTGGGCAGACAACTGGATAGTTAAAAGACTGTTTGGATGGTTGAGCTCCGAGCGTAGTGATTAATTGATCGTACTTTAGCCAAGGGCCGGAAACGAGTGGAGTGTCACGGGGGTCTGTTCTGGGACCCATCCAGTTTAGTATCTTTATCAACAATCTGGAGCAGCTGACAATTTTCATGCTCATGAAGTTTGCAGCTGACACCAAACTGGGGTGACCAGTCAATGCGCTCAAGGACACAGCTGTCATGCTGAGCGACCTAGACAGGCTGAAGAGATGGAAGGACAGGAATTTTATTAAATTTAACAAGGACAAATGCAAAGTCCTCTACTTGGCCAGGGAAGTAGTGCAGTCTCTGTCCTTGGAGATTTTCAAGACCAGGCTGGAGAAAATCTTGAGCAACCTAGTCTGATCTCGAAGCTGACTCTGCTTTGGGTATGAGGTTGATTAGAAACCTCCTGAGGTCCCATTCAATCTGTTTATTTTATTATCATTATTTTATGATTCTATGCTCTTAATTTTTATATAGTCCACCCAGGTGATAGTTGTCTCCCAAATGCACTTCTGAAACCAGAAGCATTCACTTTCTGAAACCAAAAGGCATCAAATGAGTTTAAAATTTTTTATTCACTAAAAAATGTCAGAGAGAAATTTTGATATGATTCCTGCAATTAAATGCTCTTGGATGTATATGGGTTTACAGATAACTTGCAAGTCATTTGTGGTTCATTTGGTTCAAAATTACTAACAGTGACCACTAACATGGAATTTCTCTGCATCTGGGAAGTATATTACTACATTTGGAAAAATAACAAAAAATCAGATAATGTTTACATAAATAGAAGAAGAGTAAAAATAATGAGATGACACAATCTGCAGGTACAAGTAAATTGATTAGTCATAGGTTATTGTAAATGGCTAAAGAAATGTAAACATTTCTTTACTCTGTATACACAGAAAAAAAGGCCCTTAGGACTTATTTTTTAAGAAACAAGCAAGTTTTAATTATAAATTCTGAAGTGAAACAGCTCTGGGTTTTAGTCTGGGCTAATTAAAATAAATGTGTTCACAACAAGATAAACCACATGTACCAAGTAAGATCAGAAACACATTTAGTCAAGTCTCTAGTCTCCAGCAGTGTCCAATATGATGATGATCCAATATGATAGTAAGAAAAGGACAAGTGATATTGTTCCAGACTATTAATCTAGCCCAGGGACTTCCTGAATTCAACATGCCAGCTTTGTGCTTAATGTGGACCTTAGTGGATTTTTTCTTCCTCCTACAGATCTGTGTGATCACTTTTTAAACTCAGCTGGTTGAGGTAATGGACAATACCAAACATACTTAGGGAACCAGAGCCAAATGTATTAATAAAATACAGACACAACTGAAAAATACAATACTGGTAGATGAGTAATTTTCCACATATTTCCATTGCTTTATTCTGGCATTTCACTCCTGTGGTACACTGTGATACCATGTATAAACTTTAAGATGTGAGAAAGGTAAAATCCTGACAAAAAAAGGTGGGAAAAACCTTTAACAACGTGGCTAGCATAAAGACATACGTTCAGTAATGCCAGACGCTTGTCATACTCTTGGTCTGAAGATACTGAATACCTGTCATCTCAATCAGTGAGTATGATCTATGTTTTTTGAGGGACATTGTATCTGAGTGTAAGCCATTCGCTAAGAGCAATTTGAAGCTAATTGTTTCTGAAGGAAAAGATCAGGTATTAAATGTGAAGCTGCACCAAGAAAGATGGCCATGGTTTCAAAAAATAAGGATTTGTGGTCTAATTCATGCACTGTATGTTGTTAATTTTAGAGAACTGTAAAGTTTAATAGGTTCATAGCATGATTGTTAGTTTGAATTAAAATGTATCTTTAAAGACCGCTAAATATTGCTTGTGTTATTCATATATATACAGTTATTCCACTAGCTATAAAAGTTAAATCCTTAAAATATGTAGGACAGAACAGAGCTGACAAGCTAAAATCAAAAGTAGTTAATGTATATGCGTACTAGGCAACTTGGGTAGACTCAAAGTTGGACTCTGGTCTCTATCCTCCTTAACTAAAGCAACTTTAGTCTATGAATAAGCTCTATTTTAGTTAGCAAAATATGCACTTTAAAGTAATTAAATCAATGCGGTTATTTAGCTTGAAAACCTCAAGTAATTATGCATTTCTGTTGTCTCACTTGGAAGAAAGGTTTCAGTGAGATGTCAAATTCAGGAGATACAAAGACTTATGCTTATGTTCAGTAACACTTTAACACTGCTTTTTTAAAGTTATGAGTGTCTGAAGTCGCAAATGTCCTTAGATTGATGCAGCTGCCTCTTCTAGGCAAGCAGGCAGTTTCCTTAAATATAGAAGAGGCTGTAGTAACTCCTTGATACCCAAAAGGTTCTAAAGTCATACCTAGTAAAATGGTGTGCAGTACACATACAGCAATTTCTTAAGCGACTTCTGAAATGCAGCAATTGCACTTCAACTGCCACTGAGACAACGGTTGAGAATAGAAGAATACTGACTTCCACACCGCCTTGCGGCCCATACCCCATGAAAGCAGTAACTGCTGTTAAGATCTGGTTTTTGTGAAGGTTTGGTTTCTCTTCCATCTCCATTTTCAAGAAGGAAAAGATGATTTCCTACAGGTGATTTAGTAGAACAATCTGTTGATTTAGTTGATTAGGAACGGAGTTGTGTGTCTCTTCCAAAATATTTGAAGCTGACAACTGAATAATTAAAGGAAGAAAGGAAACTGTAGGAGAGAGCAACTGCAACAGTATCATGCATGGGTTGACAGATTTGATGAGAAAAGGCAGGTGGAAAAACACGTGTGCAGAGAACAAGAATGCCGTAAGTAAATTATTTTTATTTTTGTAGCAGTTGGCTCTATCCATGTGTTGCCTTTCTTTAGAGTATCTTGACAGTTTCTTTTTGAATGTCAGTTGGAAGGAGGAAAACACTGCATTTCTAATACTAACTCTATGTTGTTGTTCATATTTCTTATTTGAGGCTGGTTTAACTACTTACTTCCATCCTGGAATAAACCTGAAGAAAATCCACTCTTACAGCATCAAACTCTATGAAAAGCTGGAAGAAATGACTGGACAGGTAATGTCCTTAACCTTTTGATAATTAATTCAGATCAATCTTAACCTTATGAATAGCCTTACAACAAAGTTTGGAGTTGACAAGCTGATCATATGCATGTCCATGACTATCATAAACCTCCAATTTTATTGAATATATTTTCCTGCCTGCTTATAGTCTGGTGCTTAGCCACTAATTATTTTAGATGGTTTTCCAGATCCCTCTAAAGTGTAAAGGAAGTGGTTTTCATCAAACAACTCAGAAGGTCAGCAGACAGACTCTGCAACTTTAGATTGGTACTGGAGCTAAAATAGGATCAGGGATCTGGAATGGATGGATTAAGCGTGATACATTCTTGCTTTAAACATGTCCACTTAAAAATTCATATGGTGTGATGGTGTCTGTACTTGAGAAGATTGCTGCAATTCTTCCCATCCCTTTCAGAGGTGTGTTTTTATTTAGTGACTTAAGGAATGGGTATGCAGAGAAACATGGGTCATCTTTTTTATCTGGCATTATTCAGTCATATATATTTCATTTACTAAATTCATGTTTACTTCAGACAGCAGCAGCAATTTCATGATCCTCAATGTACCAGTCTACAAACTTAAGAATTGTAATTAAATGCTTTTTTCTTCATTCTGCTGCTCAGCTAGATAAGATACTACGGCAGATTATCACTGTGGGTTCTACTAAAAGATTTGTTCAATCATAGTAATGTCCTGTGAGTGAATACAGAAGAGGCGAAGTAAATAGTGCATAGCAGAAAGTGAGCATTCAGTGTCCAGTTAGATAAGGATTTCTACTTTATTAAAAAGACAAAAAAAGATGGATGGTTATTCATTGTGACAATAAAGGTGCTTAGTCAGTTAAATTTATTCTTCAGCATCTCAACAGAAAATTATGCAGGTGATAGACTTTAATATAAACTGTCATATATTTATTTTTGAGATGTATGTGATTCTATTTTTTGAAAGTGTGAGTACATAAACGCAAATATTTATCAAATCTTAATAAAAATAATAGCATCATGACATTCAATAAAAGCTTCTTAAAACTGTTTTGAAGGTAGTGTATATTAACCGAGGAAGTTAATTTGTTAACTTTTTAAAAAAATTTGTTTTCTCTAGGAATTTATACCAAAGTTCTGTTCCTTCGAGGGCACCTGATTTATTTGAGTCTCTTTTCAGTGATGTTAGTGGCAAAATTCCTGTAGACTTTCCATAGTATTGGAACATGCATTTGTGGAGATTTGTGGAGTTAAGTTTCTTTCAGTAATTCACTTTTCCTCTTTATTTTAGGCCGTGGGTTTTCATCAGCCTGGCAGCATCAGAATTGCTTCAACCCCCACTAGGGTGGATGAATTCAGATACCAAATGACTCGTGCTGGTTGGCACCCAACAGAGCAGTACCTAATCACGCCTGAGAAAGTACAAGAGCTGTTTCCCTTATTGAACATGGACACGGTAAAGAACCTAATTTTATGAAATATAACTTCCATTGCAATTAAGTATTGGTTTATCGGGTATGTAGACACAAGGTCTGCTTATACAAACTGCATGATATATTCTTGTTTTTCACTGAAAAAAAGATACATTATAAACTAAAGTCAGACTCACATGCATTTTAGTGCATACTGTATGCCAGTATGCATATTATTAATTATAACATAGATAGTATTATAATACATAACTACATATAGGGGGAGGGGGGCAAGACCAGTAGGGACACCAAAAGATGCCCAGAACCTGGAGAAGAATTACTGCTCACCAGGAAAACACCTGGCAGGCAAAACAAGGGAATTCTAGATGCTCCAGTCCACAAGCCAACTTCATCGGGAGCCCACCTTAAATGCCTCTATGCGAACGCATGGAGCATGGGGAATAACCAGAGGAGCTAGAGGCGTGCACACGCATGAGGGGCTGTGACCTCATTGGAATCACGGAGTCATGGTGGGATGGCTCCTATGACTGGAGTGTCAGAATGGAAGGATACAGGCTCTTCAGGAAGGACAGGCAGGGAAGACGTGGAGGGGGTGTTGCTCTCTATGTCAGAGACCAGCTGGAGGGTGTGGAACTCCACCTGGGGATGGATGAGGAGCTGACCCAGAGCTTATGGGTCAGGATTAAAGGGAGGACAGGAAGAGGAGATACGGTAGTAGGAGTTAGCTACAGGCAA